TGGCTGGGGAATTCTGGGAGTTGAAGTCCACTCATCTTAAAGGGGCCAGGTTTGGACAACACTGCCTTAAGGAATAAAAATCATTGCAGTTTTACTGTAATTTTATTACACTATGGATTGCCATATGGCTATTGTTACCCATATAACAATCGTCTGCGGAAAGCGGCGGGGAAAAATCTAACAAAAAGGAAAAGATATGTGTTTCCCCCGAAAGACAGCAGAACGCGTATCCCGTTGAAAGAGGAGCCCCGCGGTGAAGCGACCGCAATGGCTTACAGGGGAAGAGACTTCTCTTATTCCAGTTGAAGACGAATTAAAATTGTTTTAACTCAGGGGCTAGGGATGACACGGCGTCGATCGGGCGATCCAGGGGAAGACTGAGTTGTTACTATGACCGTACAAGTGCAACGGGGGCAGGGCTCTAATCCGCAAGTATCTGACCTATAGTAACATTCACGCGCAAATCTCAACGAAGAAGGTAAGAGGACGCCGGAGCGAAGGCTCTGCGGAGAAGGTTTTGCTCTGCCGGTCAGACCGTCCTGCTCCTTCGCGGGTCGACCAACCTTTCACAGACAGGGCAGTCTGAGGAAAACGGTACCCCCTCCGTTGTAACTCGTCCTTTATTACGGCTGCTTGCAACAGAAGTGTTTCAAATGCCCCGATTCTTCAGAAATCCGTCTTGCCAAGAACACTTCTAGCTCGGTGGCAATACTCCGTTAACCAGCAATCGCAGACTACCATCTTCCAAATCCTCCATTCGGCTGTAGTGGCAAAGCCAAGGAAATGTTAATCACTGGTGGCTTCTTTGGCAGCGATGCTGGGATTGGACTTCTGGAGGGAAAGCCCCACGACACCCCCCCCCTTCCCCTTGCGTGAAATAGCTGCAGTAACCGCGTCGCTAAAGCGGACAAGCAGAACTCCCCGCCCTCCGAACGCCGAGTACAATTGGCCCCGCCCCCGTTTGCTGAGACCTTTTTAATAGAAGGCGGTCGCGTTCGAAATTGGTGGGGTGGGCGGTTGTCGATTCGCTCGCCGCCTCCCGATCAAGTCCGCCTGTGCTGGTCGCCCGCGGGGAGTTTCCCACCTTGACTCGCCGGGTGGATTTCTCCCCCACCCCATCGGGAATCCGCAGGCCCGCCCAGCACCAACCCCAACACCTCCTCACCATTGGCCGTCGTATCCCATTGCCTCGAGGGTCGTAAAAAGAGTTTTATTCCTTCGCGTCTTGCCTTCATTCCTTGAGAACCCCGTTTTTTTTTAAGCTGAAGCAATTAATCACTTTCCGTAACTGGAAGAAAGCAAGTTGATGAGGGGAAAGTGAACTCAGGAGCTCTTCCTCTTTGATGAGGGGTAAATCCTATTAGTGCAGCTAAGCAATAGGAAGCTGTTCACAGTATAGTCTATGTGTCAGGGTTGAGTTTCAGGAGACATCTGGTTGTTGGTAACTCTAATCTTATACAGCTATATACGGATATGAGGTCTTCTCCATTGACTCTTGTGAACCAAATATTTCAGCTTGATTGACTGAACCTATTTTTCTCCACAATAACAACCTTGTCATAGGCTGTGTTAGGTTGAAAGAGGGTGAATAGCCCAAAGTCACCCAATGAACTTCTGTGGTTGAAAGTGGAGAAGAGTCTGGATCTCCCCATTCCTAGTTCAACACTAATCACTACGCTACACTTCTACTTTCTTCCAAGTTGTAGTTATTATATTCATTCCACTTACACAGAATTGACACCAGCTTGATAGCACATAATTAATCAATACAATACAGACTCGGTGGTTTGCAATAAATATATATATATATATATTCATGGCTACAGTCTCTATCCCTGTTAATTCTGAACCTAGGAAGATAAACTATTACACTTTCTTCCCTGCCTAGTTGAACTCTGCTTAAGGATATCTAGCCAAAACTCTTATTAAGATAAATGGGTGGCACTGCTACTTTATTAGAGAAATTTATGTTTTGTTTTTAATTTCAGATAAATGCTTTACTGGTTAATGACAGAGCCTTCTTGTGTACCAGGAATCTGCTTAAGTCAAGATTCATTCTGTGCTGGCTAACCATCGGGCCTGAGAATGGACGTTAGTGAAATGATTGCCAGTGCTATTAAAAAGCCGAAAAAAAAAGGTGTCAAAAGTAAAAAAAAAAGGTGAATTTGAAGTTATCATTATTACATGAAAACATGTTTGCATTTTGTTCTTGTTCTAGTAAAAAAAAAAGGTGAATTTGAAGTTATCATTATTACATGAAAACATGTTTGCATTTTGTTCTTGTTCTAGTAAAAAAAAAAGGTGAATTTGAAGTTATCATTATTACATGAAAACATGTTTGCATTTTGTTCTTGTTCTTGTTTTCCTTTTGGGTTTACCTGCCTTTTATTTTGAATAGATCATAGATATGAATACTTGGTTATTGGCTTTTCCTTTTTTTAAAAAGGAAAGGATTGGTGCTTAAGTCTAATTTGAAGGTTGGGTAACAGGGTAACTTTCTTAGCAATAAGGATAGCTTGTTAATGAAACCAGTTATGTAGTGAGTAGATACATTCTTTATTTCTGGCAATATCCAAACAGAGGTGGGGCAGCCATCTAATGTTTTTGCTTTAATTTGGATTCCTGCACTGAACAGAAGTATGGATTCAAAAGCCCAAAGGATTCCTTCCAATTCTATAATTCTATAATGTGGAACTATCTTTCACTAATCATAAATGAGTGAAAGCTGATTATGGATATTCATCAATACATTTATTTTTAGGACATATTCAGAGATATTCCATTTCTCACTGTTTTGTATTCCAAAGGCTATGCCCTAAAATAACCCTAAAATATTCAAGCTAAAAATGCATCCCCACATAAACACAAAAGCTCTGTAAATTCAAATTAAGTGTCTTGACCTGGAAAATCTCTTGACTACTATTTTCCAGACACTCCAAGTCTCTGAGGACTTTGTTACTGAAAACTGAAGTTTCTCAGTAAAAAAGGAACTCATACCCACCCATATATTTATGTTTTCATGATTGTAGACTAGGTCATTGATAATTTAAAATTGTATACTTCAAAGAATGTAATCCTCACAATTTATTTCCCACTGGAGATGCAACAAGTTTCAATACAATCAATAGACCAAAGCTAAGAAATGAACAACAGTAAATGCAACAAAAGGTACGAACAGAAAACAAATAATAGACTATATAAATATAACACTGCATGACTCCAAATAAATCCTCTTCTGTGAGACATCCTTCCATCAACAAGTACCACTGACAGAAACTTGGCCACAGAATCAGCCTTTGAATTTTATCCAAAATATATTTAATATAAAACTGAATGTATCTGTCAATGTAGTTCAGTCCAAATAAAAATAAGGATTGTGATTATTACATCTTATTACATTATATGCAACTTTTCAAGCCTACATTGTACACAGGAGCCAATGTGAGTACCACTGTTGTCAAGCATAGATCTGCATAGATTGCCTAGGACTCCAATGTTAAATTAGATGCAATTTACCATATCTACTTAAAAGTCGGTTATACTGAATTTAATAGGACTTACTATTAGATATGTCTTTGAAACATCTTAGACTTTCATTTCTCTATTTGCTTCAACAGTATAGGAACGTGAAACATTTCAGGTCAAGGCCCATATTTGTCCTTTTGGTGATGCATCCAAGAGTTCACCGGAAAGTTTGAAAGGCTAGGGCAAAGAAATGGGTGGTTTCAGAACAAAAACTAAATTTCATTTAATTTATAGTAAATTTACTGTAAATGCAATTAAATATAAATTGAGTGGTCATTCCCTATGTAATTAATCATTTCCCCTTTCTGCTGTAATGATCATTTGGGGTATTCTTTGAAGGGCTCTAAAATGCAACTTCTCAAAGGCTCTGTAAGCTACACCCAAAGTTTCTAGGAGCTGCAAACTACCTTTGAACCTCAGACTGTACATCTCCAATATAGTAATAACAGAGTTATGGGGAGACAAAACTACTTGCTGACTGTCCAGCCATATTTTGTGTGATGTGTTAGGTTATGTCTAGTGTTAATTATCAGATTTAATGCTGAGTGTATTATTTTTTTCCTACTATAACTTTTGTTTTACAGTGTAGAATAAGATGACACTATATGTTGGAAGGTGTAATTTAACTAATGGTAACTCTGATACAATTAGCAATATGGTCTTTCAACTATGACATATTTTCCTTCAAATTAAATGATAATATACTGTATTTTACCAATATGAAATCATCTGGAATAAATATTCAGAGGGCACAAGTAGCTGTTGGGGGATGGAAAGCAAGCAAAATTTTCTCCCTCCTTCCAGCAGTGGGATACCTCAAACCCTTCCCATGGGTAGACGGAGTCTTCCATTCATGGGACTTAAAATTAAGATCCAATTTCACGAATTATATTTTGTTCCAAGATTGAATTGTTAAAATGTTTTTCAACCTTTATTTACATCTCTATAAAACTAAAGGTCAGTTTAGTCAGGTTTTCCAAATCCTTGCATATCTTTGGATTTGAAAATATTTGCAGTTCAATATTTATGTCTCAAATATATTTTATGCCTGCAAAAATAGAGAGTACAGACCAAAAAGGTTTCTGCATCCAGGAGCACATCTTGTCAACATCTATTATTTGAAAAGACAAATGTTAAGTAAAAATATGGTTTATTTGGTTTGGGCTTAGTGCAATATGTGAACCCAGCCATATACTGACTTCAGATCATGATTAAATAAATGGCTTGTCTGCATAGGTAATTTCCAGATTCCTTCTGGGAAGCCATTTTTAAAAATTTCCTGGATCAGAATTTTGAAGAACTTAGTACAGTTGAGCACCCAGCTTCTCCAAGCCCGAAAATGCACAGTATTCAAGAAACAATAATTGGCTATTGTGCAGAAGGAATAGAAAATGTAAAAAAAAAAGGGGGGGGGAGCAGGGAGGGGATTGGATGTTGGGAATTTTGAACAGAAGCCCTGAATCTTGCAACATTTG